ATAATTTTCTTCCGCAGAAGTTTCAAAAAGGCTTTTCTCTTACTTTTTTCAAATTTTTAATAATTTAATAATTTAAAAATATAAATATAAATTATTATTTAATTAACACAGAACACACGTGTCATGACTCTTTGTGCTAAATCTCACATTAAACCTACTGCTCTCACTACTTTCATTTTGAGCTAACTTTCACTTTGCCTCTAACTATTAACTCTTTTCAGTTCAAAAAAAAAAAACAGAAAAACTATATCTCTCTACTTTAATCAGCACGGTAATTGCTTTTAAGAAATTTCATTTTAATTTGACTCATACTTTTATATTCAGCTATTTATCTGTACAAATTAATGTTTTTGGCAAAGATAGACTTTGAAAAAAACAATTTTTAAAAATATTTTGTCGTTGGCAGAACAGGAATGGGAGTAGGAGCGATGGTGAAAGGATAATTCAAATTATGTGGATTATACTGTGTAAATGGGGGAGTTAAGAGAGGTTGACGTGTGTGCCTAATCTAAGTAGGATACACTAATCCTATTGAAACATAGTTTGTGAACATAATGAGTTATCACCAATGAAAGGATAGTGAAATGTATTTAATGATGAGTCTCATTGTAGCATTAATGAATTCATTTTCATATCATTGGTAACAACTCATTATGTCCTCAAATTATATCACAATAGCATTGCTCAAGTAGGATAGCTAGGGGTGTCAAACGTATCAGGTTAAACGGGTGACAGGTGAAAAATATATAAACTCGTACACGTTTAATAAACGGGTAACACATCACAACTCGTTTAACCCATTTAATTTTAAAAAAAAATATATTAACAAATTTTAATATTCTATTTTTTTTTATTTTCAATTGCACTTACTCAAAAAAGAAGATTTTTTAGTTAAATCTCATAAAAATAAGACTTGAAAGTTTAAAAAAATAAAACAACAGACCATTACTTTTTATAGACAATTCAACCCTCTCTATCTCCCCTCATTTTTCAATGTGAGACAAATAAAACTAGAAGACTTAAAAAAAAAAAAGTAAGAAGTCATTGCTTTTTATAGCCAACTCAACCCTCCTCATCTCTCATCATTTTTTAATGTGAGACAAATAAGACTTGAAGGGTTAAAAAAAAAAAAGTAAGAGGTTATTGTTTTTTATAGGCAACTCAACCCTCCTCTTCTCCCCTCATTTTTCAATGTAGGACAAATAAGACTTGCCTTTGTCTTTGAAGTATTTCTCATCTCTTCTCTTTTGTCTTTGAACTATTACTTTATTTATTTTTTATTGATTTTTTTACTTCTTTTTTTCTTGTTAATTTTTTAAAATAATTATTAATTTATTATTATATTAATTTTATTTAAACGGGTAAATGTGTGATAAACGGTATGATAGATCTCATCCGAACACGACCTGTTTATCACCCAAATCCGTTAAAATCTCACCTAAATCCGCTTAATTTGTGTCGGTTGATCGTGTCGTATCAAATTTTGACAGCCCTAGGATAAGCAGATGAGATGTAAAAAACTCAAACAGTCTATTAACAAAGAGACCAACCGACTGAGCAAAGAGTTACTGGAGTAAAATGTTTTATCGAGGTGGCTAGTAAAGAAAACTCGTATAATTTCGGTTATTCTGCCACTAATCCACGTGTCACATTATTTATATGCTCCAATTACCTTAGGAATCCATCCAGAGTCCAGTCAAATACATCCTTGGGAGCAGTGAGTCATACACTGGAAAGCCTGTTAGAGTAAATTAAACCTTCGAGACTCTGTTTTAGGCTGAGGTTGACAATCATACTCATTTGCCCCCATTGCTCAGTTCTCCCTTGAGGAGGATTATACTGTGGACCAGTCGAATAATGATATTCAGTAGGTTAACGATACCACTTCCACAGTGAGGGAAGACGAGTCTTATTGAGGTTGTCCGCAAATTTCTGCAGTTCCACTCTTATTCACCGTTACTGAAGGATTCATTTTGTCACTTTCAATGCAATGGGAATGTGTTTTGCTATGTTGCAGTGTTACGCTTGGGGGGCATCTCACCTGATAGGGGTGTTCATCCTACCCTACGGGTAGGAAATATGTTCTTCCATCTTCCTATCCGACACTTTGCGGAAGAGTTTTTTCTTGGTCTACCCTACTCGACAGGTGTGGTATTCCTACCCGACTTCCTAACTGATTAATCAGATAGAAAATCGGGTAAATATTTTTGTAACAATTAATTTTTGGATCATTTTAACAATTTAATTAAATAACATGCACCAATTTAACAACACAATAAATTAATTAACACTAAAATCTAAAACAACTACAATAAGAATTATAATAAAACACAAGAAAATATGAACATCAATCCACCATAATTGTTACACAAATACAATAACAATTAATTTATGTTTAAATTTTAAACCATATGAAATACATTAAAATCATAATTGTTCCGCTTGTGGTTAGGGTTTAGAGTTTTTTTAGTTTATATATATATATATATATATATATATATAT